CTAAACTCAATGGGAGCATCTAGTTGAGCTTGGGGTCAATGGGAGCATCCTAGTTAAACTTGGGGGTGTAAATGAGAGCTTCCTATTGAGCTTGGCGTCAATGAGAGCATCCTAGTTGAGCTTGGGGGTGTAAGTGAGAACATCCTAGTTGAGCTTGGGGTCAATGGGAGCATCTAGTTGAGCTTGGGGTCAATGGGAGCATCCTAGTTAAACTTGGGGGGTGTAAATGAGAGCTTCCTATTGAGTTTAGGGTCAATGGGAACATCCTAGTTGAGCTTGGGGGGGGTGTCAATGAGACCTTCCTAGTTGAGTTGGGGGTCAATGGGAGCATCCGAGTTGAATGTGGGGTCAATGGGAGCATCCGAGTTGAGCTTGGAGGTCAACGAGAGCTTCCTAGTTGACCATCCTTAGCCAAGGGAACCAACCGGTTCCTTTCTCTACCATTTCCTAACCTTAACTCTGCTTTGGGTCTTTCCCAGGTGGATTTGGTCGACTGGGTGGATAACATGTGGCCGCGGCATTTAAAGGAACGGCAGACGGAGTCCACGAATGCCATTTCGGAGATGAAATATCCCAAAGTGAAAAAGTAAGTGGATTTTTTTTCTCCCCCGGATTTCCTGGCTATAAATTATGATTCAAACTAGTTCAAACTTACTTTTCTGCGTCTCTTGTTGAAAGTTGGGTTGGTGCAGAGTTTTGCGGTCGTAACAATGGTTGGGTATTATTGGGGGGGGGGGACTGTGATTTGGTGACAAGCGAAGGCGCTTCGATAGGGGAAGGACACACCTCCTCCTATGTCACAGAGACGCTGACAAATGGGAAGGGACCTTGGCTGCGATTGGCTGAATTGCTGTGATGTCAGCAGGGCGAGCCAAAGACCCCTTTGGCATTTCCCTGTCTTGCCTTGGTTTGTATTTCTGTTGTCATAAGCGGGTTCCTTACACAACGTCAACCGCAAAGGGCATCCCCTGTTTTAATTGGATTTTCTTCTTACAAGACCATTTTGTTTCCTTCTTACAAACTGGTTTCCTCTGGCGTTGTTGGTTTTGTGTTTGAATTGCTACCGCCGTGGGGGACAAAGATATATATATATATATAGGTTCCACCACAAAACCGCGATAGAATGAAGCGCGCTCGACGAAAGCGCGTACGTGACGTCATCACAGCGCGACAAAAACATCGCGCTGTGAGCAGTAAATTAAAAATTTATGCAAAAACCTATCCCAAACCCCCCCAAACCTATCCCTAAACCTAACCCAA